ACCCCTATAAAACTAGAACTTTATACTGTCAGGTTTAGCTTTAAACATTTTAACAGTATAAATATCTTATAACCTTATAAATTGAAAACATTTTAAAAACTGTTTTTAAATCCCTTAATTTTTTAATATTGAAAATTAAAATACATTTTAGGCCTTTAAAATCATTATTATCTGGGTGACTGTTAAATTATAAAACTTAGCATTCCTGTGTATAAAAGCATTAACATTTTAAATATGAATAAAAAACTTGTTGATAGGATGGTACCTCATAACTTCCATGTGGTCACCTTTAGTCAAGATGGTGGATCAGGTATCTTTTTTAACTTTAGTAAAATGGTTACCAGCCAGCCATGTGGCCAGCTTGCCATGTGACTGGCTGTAAAATGGTGGCGACCTAAACCACTTTTGTTTCAGCTCTATGCTTGTAATAAAACTTAGATTATGACAGAAAACACAGATAGAACTTTTTAACAAAACAAGCATAGAAATGAAACATCATAGTAAATAGTTTATATTTTTCTTTTTCTCTTGTAGTTATAACTTTAAGGCCATTCCGTTTCTGTGGAAAGACCAGATCTGGCCAAATGGCTTACCTGCTCCAGCCCTGTGTGCTTGGGCAGGGTGCTCTGGTGGAGGGAAAAGATGGCAGATGGCTCCTTTGCCAGCACACCATGTGCATGGGGCAGAGAGAGAGAGAGAGAGAGAGAGAGAGAGAGAGAGAGAGAGAGAGACCCCCATCCTCACATCCTGCACACCTCACAGACAGGCAGGTGAGGACAGAGCAGGCTCAGCTGTGAGGGCTGCAGCAGCAGTTGGAGAACAGAGCAGCTGCCTCCCTGCATGTTCAGGGATAGGAGACCCTGCTGCACCATGCTCTAACCCTTGACACATGGCAGGAGGGACTTTTGCCTAGCGTGCCATGTGTTCAGGGCAGCAAGAGAAGACCCCTGACCTGCACCACGTGTATAGGCAGGCAAGAACAGAGACAGAGGGGTAAGATGGTCCAGCGACTAGCTAGGCTTGGCCAAAGTCTTCAACCACAGGACCAACTTATAAAAAGAATTGTTTATTTACTGAACCTGGGGCATATTAGATACACAACCAATTGTACACACACATAAAAAATTGGCATGCAACAGCTGTCTTAATGTGAAAGTCACCTTATCAATAGATTGTTGTAAGGATAGTCATCCAGGGATGAAAAATTATTTATCCTGAACATGAAAACCTATTAATAAATTTAAATTAACTTTACAAAACTTGTTACTTGTAGTTTTCCCCTTGTAAGATTTCTATGAGAACCGCATCATCTGGGGATAGATGATGATTTGGAGCCGGGACAAGGACCAAGGGTGAAGAAGGGGGGAGGGGAGGAGATGACGGTTTTCTCTGAGGCTGCCTTTGGAGGAGGTCAGAGAGTCACAAATGGGGCTGCCCATATCGGGGGTCTGTAGCCAAATTTTCCCAAATAAAAATGTATGCTGTCTGGTCAAATTGTCCATGGGGTCCCTTGTCAAAGACCCAATCCTGAACCTGTAAGATAATTTCTAGGTTAAAGTTCCCATCCCGTGGCCAGCCCACATCAAAGGTTGGCCGCTCAGATGTGCAGTTTATAATTTAGAGGCATGAATCAACACTTCATTCCAGTGATCTAAAATAAGGCTCAAAGGGGTGGTTATGGTTTGTCCCATGCTTGAATCAGAAAACTCAAAATACAAGGACAAGTAGACAAACAAGACAAATAACACAATTAAGCAACTTACGACCAGACACGCTGCGCACTTTCAGAGGAGAACTGAAAATAAATACTCAGACGGGTCAACAGGAGTAGTGGTCCAGTTTTTCCCTTATCAGGCCCATGAGCTCCAAACAATTGAGCCCCCGGATCCTTGGCACGTCTGCCAGGGTGGCGGGGGAGAAGTCTGAGCTCATCAGCCCCTTCTCAAGCCGCCCTAATTACCGAATGACTATGTAGCCAACCTTTCGAACACTGCGCGGAGACAGATCAACATACATACATATAACAAAGAACAAAGCAGACAGGGTGCCGGCTAGCTTACCTCCCGGTGGCACTGGTGGTTCTGGGGCAGAAATTTCAGTGGAACCTCCAATGTAAGACCTCAGCATCAAAGCGGCGGTCACCGAACCGAACCATCTGCCCAAGGACGGGGTCAGACCATTGCATGCAAATGCAAGAGGCGATTTATTGAGTACACAGGCACCTGCGGATGCTACTGCAACTTGGGTGCAGAGCATAGCGGGCTTGCAGGGAGCACAATATTTATAGAGTTTTAATGGTTACATAAGTATCAGCATAGCAACAGACATTTTATTGGCTCATCTTGGGGGCAGGGGTAGTTCCCACGGACTAAGTTTCCTGGTATTACCTCGTGAAAGACTCCGGCATGCTTCAGCAATTATTATTCAGGTCCCATGACTACTATGGTGATCATAGACACAACTGGGGGCAGGGGTAGTTGCCAAGGACTAGGTGTCTTGGTATTGCCACATAAAAGACCCTGGCACACTTCAGCAATTATTATCTGGGTCCCATGACTGCTCTGGTGACCACAGATCCTGTTTGACATCCTGCCAGCTGGGCGAGGCACCTGGTTTGGGTTTTTTTTTCATTAGGCAATGGCCTGGCCTTGCTTTTCTTTTTCTAGGGGATCTTGGGTAGGGGTCTTTCAATACAACAATGATGTCTGTTCCACTATGTTCATAGCAGCATTATTTGTAACAGCCAGAACTTGGAAGCAACCTAGATGCCCCTCAACCGAAGACTGGATAGAGACAATGTGGTACATTTACACAATGGAGTACTACTCATTGTATGAAAACAATGGAATCTTGAAATTTCAGGCAAGTGGATAACACTAGGAGAAACAATCCTGAGTGAGGTAACACAGTCACAAAAAGATAAACTAGGCATGTACTCTCTCATATATGAATTTTAGACATAGATCTGGAGAGTGCCAGCCTACAATCCCATGGCCAGAGAGTCTAGGAAACAGAACCTTCATTCAGTGGCTGATGGAAGAAGAGGCACACTCCCACAGCTAAACACTGAGCTGAACTCAAGAAATCCAGTAACAGAGAGGGAGGACTGCGCTGGTTTAACCCCCAGAAACAGCCAACCTGACAAGGGTTAACTCTCGAATCCCAGGGTGTTGCCTGGGAATCCAGCATGGGACTGATCAAGACCCTCTGAATGGGGGTGTCACTGAGGAGGCCTAGGTAATCTATTGAGCCTTGGGCAGTAGATCAGTATTCATCCTGAGTATACACATGGACTATGGACTCCCATCCAACAATGTGAGATGTACTCTTACTCTGAACTCCTGGGGGAGGATCTAGGCCCTGCCCTGGATGAAATGACAGACTATGGACACCCCCTGGAGGGCCTCACCCTCCCTGGGGAAATAGGGGATAATGGGGGGGGTGGAGGGAAGGCACGGTAGGAGGGGAGGGAAAAGGAGAGGGACCTGGAACTGACTTGTGAAGCAACTTTTTCTATACTAAATTTAAACTTAAAATTAAATAAAAAATTTCTAAGCATGGATAATGACACCACGTGTGACAATACTCATTCATTTTGTATTATGTAGTAGCAGTGATCCAGATCCATGTGTGTGGTGAAGCTCTCTGACTCACACTGCTATATAGCAGTGATCTAACTCTATAGTTCAAGAGGTAAGAAACTCACTGCTTTGTATCACAAACTCTGTACATTGTCTTCCTAATTTCCTTCCTTCCTTGTCTTCTTTTTTTGTAAGTTTTAAAAGTTTCTTCTGAAAATATTATTTACTGTAAAGTGGGGAAACAGTATGAATATGTGGTAGATATTGAACTAATTATTCTATTATCTTCATTTTTCCAGCAGAGCATGTAAATTCTTATTAACTCAAGAAGCATTTTGTTATCATACCACACATTCCATTTTTCTTTTTATGCAAGATACATTTGTTGAGAGTCCAATATGTAACATGAATTCAATAAAATTATTAAGGACTATTTCCCAGTGATTAAATTCTTAAATAAAACAATGTAATTATTGTTTAGATGGAAACCTGGATGGTCTTGAGAAATAGGAGAGCAAAGAAAACAGAATGGTAAGGAGCAAGGTTTCCATTTTTTGGGAGAGGGCTACATATAATTTATGTTGCTCATTTAATTAATGAGATTGCATTGATTTAATTTGAAAACATTGAGATTGATAAATAGCTTTTATATAAACTCTTGGGAACTTATATGTTATTTAGATGTTCTTGATGCTCTGTGGCAACTCTAGTAATTATATGTAATCAGAAATCAGACCACAAATAGAATATAGCTGACTCTGATTCCCAAAGTTGACATGTCCAGTAACTAACTATCTATCTAACTGATGACAAATGCCAGTTATTCAGTGGAATAGTATGCTGCAATTGACAATTATGGACATAAGAAAGGTGGAAGCAAGTTGTACCTAAGTGAACTTAATTCTTATGATAAAACTGTATCGTCATTTAAAAAATTTTGCTTCAAATTTATTATTTTAAAAACAGGGCATAATAAAGAATTTATAAACATTCACATAACAAGGGTTGGAGATGCACAACTCTAATTCCAGTATTCAGGAGACAGAAGGAGGTGGATTTCTGTGACGTCAAGGACAATCTGATTTACAGTAAGGACTAGATCAACCAAGGCTATAGACAGTAAGAACTAGGTCAACCAAGTCTATTAGTGAAACCTTGTCTCAAATATGAATAAGAAACAAATTCATAAATATTAACATAGATCCTTTTGTGTCACAATAATACACTTTATTACTATTTTTATCTTGAAGTGGATTTCAGAAGTATCATTTAAACCATATTTCCACTTAAATGCACAGATGACTGATTTTCAGATTCTATCAAAAACAGAAATAGCTTTGTGTTTTAGGATGTCATGTCTGCATAGGTTTTTTAGGTAGACGTTATGTGAGAGTACAAAGCCCCTAATTTATTTCAACCATGGCCACAGGATTAACTGGCTCAAGTGAAAGCGAAAGATTTGGAGAAACATTGAGAGAAATACATGTATACTCTCTGCAGGTACCTCTAATGTACCTAGAGTTAAGAATTGTTGGATTGGGCTAGAAGAACCAATGAGTAAAACCAAATGTGAAGGTTTCCTTGATCCTTATCTTTAGAATCTAGATGACAGAGACCCAGAGAGCTAAACCAACATTTTATAGCTATATTTTAAAACCCTGCTCTTTTGAAATATTCATTGAGAAGGCATGAATCATAAAATGCTCCAAATCCAACTTGATATGGAAAATAAAGCACAGCAATACAAGACATTCGAAAATATTACGTCAAATAATTCATAAGACTTTGATAAGTGAATGCTAAGGTATTGAAATGTTTGAAATGTTAGACAAGGAATTCAAGTGTTTAGTTAAAAATGGTCAATGATCTTAATGAAGTTTCAAGAGGCAGATGAGAAATTCAGTACCTTGGACAAGACTTTCTGTAACCCGAAACAAAACATATTCAACAAAATTATAGAAGAAAACTTTCCCAACATGAAGAAGGACAGGCATATGAAAGTACAAGAAGCTTACCTAACACCAAATAGACTGGACCAAAAAAAATTCCCCTCTCTACATAATAATCAAAGCACCACACAGAATGAAGAAAGAATATTAAGAGCAGCAAAGAGGCCAAGTAATATATATATATATATATATATATATATATATATATATATATAAAGGCAGACGTATCAGGATTACACTTGAATTCTTCACAGAAATTCTAAAATTCTGAAGGTCCTGGTTAGATGTTCCACAAACACTAAGAGACCACAGATTCCAGACCAGACTATTACACTCAGAAAAACTCTCAATCACTATAGATGGAAATAACAAGATAATCTATGGCAAAACCAGATTTACACAATACATATCCACAAATCCAGCTCTATAGAAAATCCTACAAGGAAAACCCCAACCCAAGGATGTTAACTACACTCCCAAAAACATAGGCTTTAAGAAAAGCAAGAAATAGGGGGAAAAATCTAACACAATACCACCACCACAAAAAAATGAATCAACAATCAAGAATCAACAATCAATGGTCATTGATATTCCTCAATATCAATGGTCTTAACTCACCTATAAAAAGACCCAACCAAAAAGAATGGATACAAACACAAAAGTAAAAACACCTCAACATCAAAGACAGAAATTTCCTCAGAGTTAAGGATTGGGAGAAGATTTTCCAATCAAATGGCCCCAAGAAACAAGCAGGGGTAGCAATCCTAATATCTAACTAACTAGACTTTAAAAAGAAATCAATCAAAAGAGATGAAGGAGGTCACTTCATATTCACCACAGGAAAAACCCACCAAGATGAAGTCTCAATTCTGAACATCTATTCCCCAAACACAAAGGCATCCACATTCATAAAAGAAACATTACTAAAACTCAAACCACACATAAAGCCTCACACAGTAATAGTGGGAGACTTCAACACCTCACTGTCACCACTAGACAGGACTACAAGACAAAAACTTAACAATGAAACAAAGGAACTAATAGAGGTTATGACCCAATTGGGTTTGACAGACATCTATATAACATTTCATCCAAACACAAAACAATATACCTTCTTCCCAGCGCCACATGGAACCTTCTCAAAAATTGACCACATACTTGGCAACATGGCTAACCTCAACAGGTACAAAAAAGTTGGAATAACTCCATGTATCTTATCAGACCACCATGCTTTAAAGTGAGAGTTCAACAACATCACAAACTGCAGGAACACTCCAACATCATGGAAATTGAATAAAACACTATTGCACCGTGCCTGGATAAAGTAAGAAAAAAAGAGAAATTAAAGATTTCCTAGATTTCAATAAGAATGAAGACACAACATTTCCAAATTTATGTGACACTTTGAAAGCAGTGCTAAGAGGAAAATTCATAGCACTGAGAGCCCACATGAAGAACCTGGAGAATAGCTACACTAGAAAACTAACAGCACAGCTGAAAGCTCTAGAACACAAAGAAGCAAACTAACCCAGGAGGAGTAGACACCAGGAAATAATCAAATTGAGGGCTGAAATCAATAAAGCAGAAACTATGAAAACATTACAAAGAATCAATGTAACAAAGACTTGGTTCTTTGAGAAAATCAACGAGATAGACAAACCTTTATCCAAACTCACCAGACTGCAGAATGTGAACATACAAATTAACAAAATCAGAAATGAAAAGGGGGACATAACAAAAGACACTGAGGAAATCCAGAAAGTAATCAGGTCATACTTTGAAAACCTACACTCCACAAAATTCATAAATATAAAGAAAATGGCCAACTTCCTGGATAGATATCAATTGTCAAGATTAAATCAAGAACAGATAAGCAATTTAAATAGACCTATAACCCCTAAAAAGTAGAAGTAGTCATCGAAAGTCTCTCAACCAATAAAAGCCAAGGGCCAGATGGTTTCAGTGCAGAATTCTTCCAGAAATTCACAGAACAGCTTATACCAATTCTCCTCAAAGTATTCCATGCAATAGAAGCAGAAGGGTCTTTGCCAAACTCATTTTATGAGGCTTCAATAACATTGATACCCAAGCCACACAAAGATACAACTAACAAAGAGAACTTCAGACCAATTTCCCTCATGAACATTGATGAAAAACTAATGAGATACTGGCAAATTTGATCCAAGAACACATCAGAAAACTCATCCACCATGTTCAAGTAGGCTTCATCCCAGATATGCAGGGATGGTTCAACATATGAAAATCTATCAATGTAATCCACCATATAAACAAGCTGAGGAACAAAAATCACATGATCATCTCACTAGATGCTAAAAATGTCTTTGACAAAATCCAACACCCCTTCATGGTAAAGGTCTTGGAGAGATCTGGGATAACAGGAACTTACCTAAACATGATAAAAGCTATATACAGCAAACCAACAGCCAACATCAAACTAAATGGCCAGAAACACAAGACAATTCCACTAAAATCACGAACAAGACAAGGCTGTCCCCTCTCCCCATTCATCTTCAATATTGTACTCGAAGTTTTAGCTAGAGCATTAAGACAACAAAAGGTGATCAAGGGGATACAAATTGGAAAGGAAGAGGTCAAACTTTCAATATTTGCAGATGATATGATAGTTTACATAAATGACCCAAAGAACTCTACCAGGGAACTCTTACAACCGATTAACACCTTCAGCAAAGTGGCAGGCTACAAGATAAACTCAAGAAAATCAGTATATACTATATACAGATGATAAGAAGGCTGAGAAAGAAACCAGAGAAACATCACCCTTTACAATTGCCACAAACAACATAAAATACATTGGGGTAATGGTAACCAACAAGTTAAAGTTGTGTATCACAAGAACTTTCAGTCTTTAAAGAAAGAAATTAAAGAAGACACCAGAAAATGGAAAGTTCTCCCATGCACTTGGAGGGGTAGGATCAGTGTAGTTAAAATGGGCATCCTTCCAAAAGAAATCTACAGATTCAATGCAATCTTCATTAAAATACCAGCACAATTTTTCAGACCTTAAAAGAACAATAATCAACTTAGTATGGAAAACAAAAGACCCAGGATAGCCCAAACAACATTGCTCCACAAAGCAACATTAGAGGCATCACCAGCCCTGACCTCAAGCTCTGTTATAGAGCTGTAGTCCTGAAAACAGTGTGGTATGGGCACAAAAATAGACAAGTAAACCAATGGAATGGAATTGAACAACCTGATATTAACGCATACATGTATAAACATCTGAACTTCGACAAAGAAGCTAAAAATGTGCAATGGAAAAAAGAAAGCATCTTCAACAAATGGTGGTGGCATAATTGGAGGCTGTCAGGTAGAAGAATGAGGAGAATCTATCACCATGCACATAACATAAGTCCAAATGGATCAAAGACCTCAACATAAATCCAGCCACACTGAACCTCTTAGAAGAGAAAGAGGGTGGTACCCTTGAACGAATTGGTACAGGAGACAACTTCCTGAACATAACACAAGTAGCATAGACAGTGAGGTCAACAATAAATAAACGGGGCCTCCTGAAACTGAGTAGCTTCTGTAAGGCAAAGGACACAGTCAGCAAGACAAAATGGCAGCCCACAGAATGGGAAAAGACATTCACTAACCCCACATCTGACAAGAGGGCTGATCTCCAAAATTTGCAAAGAACTTAAGAAGCTGGTCACCAAAGCACCAACTGATCTAATTAAAAAGTAGGGTATAGAACTAAATAGAGAAGTCTCAATAGAGGAATCTAAAATGGCTGAAAGACACATAAGAAAGTGTTCAACATCCTTAGCCAACCGGGAAATACAAATCAAAACAACTCTGAAATACCATCTTCTGGTCAGAATGGCTAATACCAAAAAGTTCCAGTGACAGTTTATGCTGGAGAGGATGTTGAGAAAGGGGAACACTCCTCCACTGCTGGTGGGAGTGCAAACTCATAGAATCACTTTGCACATCTGTGTGGAAATTCCTCGGTGAAATGGGAATAAGCTTACCACAAGATTCAGCAATTCCACTCTTAGGCATATACCCAAAAGATGCACATTAATACAAGGACATCTGCTCAACCACATTCATAGCAGCATTTTTTTGTAATAGCTAGAACCTGAAAGCAATCTAGATGCCCCTCAACTGAAGAATGGATGGAGAAAATGTGGTACATTTACACAATGTAGTACTACTCAGTGGGAAAAACAATGGAGTCTTGAAATTTGCAGGCAAATGGATGGAACTAGAAGAAACCATCCTGAGTGAAGTAACCCAGTCACAGAAAGACAAACATGTTATGAGTACTCACCTATGGATTTTAGATATAGAATCCAGGAATACCATCCCACAATCCATACCATCAGATAAGCTAGGAAACAGAGAAAAGCCTAAGAGAGATATACATGGTTCCCCTGAGAAAGGGAAAGGGATCTCCTGAACTAATTTGTAGCATGCAGAAAGGAGAGAGGGAGTTAGGGAAAGAGATGGGGAGAAGAACAGGGGAGGGGAGGACATGAGAGAGCAAGATGATCAAGTCAGGGGAAGAGTATAGGAGAACAAGAAGAGATCCCGTAATAGAGGGAGCCATTATAGGGTTAAAGAAAGAGGGCAAGGTAAGGGCAGCCTGCAGCCCAAGTGCAGAGCCAGCAGGGAGGAGGAGGCAAAGAAGAAGAGGGTCCTTCTGGGACAGTCAGCCAGGGTCAGAGAGCCAGGTGAGGGCAGCAAAACCCCAGGGAATTGTGAGGGAGCCGCGGCGGCTGCCAGGGCTCCCTCCAGTCTGCAGCAAGGCAGAGGCTGTGCCCGCCAAGCCCAAACCCAAGCCGCAGAGCCTGTCTCCCCTGAGGGCAAAGACCCCAGGCCCCTGGATCCAGGAAGGCTACCCTGAGGGCTCCTTCGAGGATTGCCTCAACTATGACAGCTCTCTGTCTTCCTCCTCCACACTGCCTCCCCGCAAAAGGCAGAGGACAAACAACTGCGAAGCTCAGGCCCAGAGCCCAGCAGCAGCAAAGGTGCCTCAAAGCAAGGCTCAAAGCTGCAAGGATCTGAATCTCCTCCTGGCCGCCAGTCCCTTTCCAGAGGTCACCTACACCCTTCAAGACTGCTTCCCACAGGAGGGACCCGAGCACTCTTCCTTCACCAATGGGCAAGAAGAAGCACCTTGGGCTTGGAGGAGCAGCTCGAAAACGCCTGTGTATTCGGGTCACAGACCGGCCAGACCTCTCCCACAGAACTCGCACCAAGGATGCCTTGCTAAACCACACTCTTGGTGGGAAACTCAGGGCCAACCCGCTCCTCGGGAGGACACCCAGCTCTGGAGTCAGCAAAAGGGGGAGTCCGGGACCCAGATCCACACTGACAAGCAAACTCACAGCCAGACTGAGCCCCAGGCACACCTCAGGCAGCAGGACTCCCTGGACCTGAAGCTGCAAGCCCTGAGTGCATGCATCCTAAACTCTGAAGCCAAGAAGCCTCAAGGCCGCCAAACTAAGATGATCTTCCATGCCCAGGCCACAAGTCCAGGCCAACATGCAGACTTGGGACCCGGAGCGGAGGCTGCCCCCAAAAATGTGCACAGCTTCAATGAAGCCTCTGGCCCTGGGCTTCTGTGCAGGGCTCCCCCCCTGCCCTTGGGCTGTAGCCACAAGACCCTGGCTAAGAAACCTGCCCCCCTCATGGCCAAGGCCTTCAAGGATTACAAGAACAGGTGGTCTAGGAAGTGAACCAATGGAAACAGCTACCAACCGAACCTCTGACCGCCAGACCTACCTAGCTACCACACTGATCCCAGGCGACCCCACCCGACCGGACCTGACTGGACCTTGCACTCCCTCCTGGGATAGCTGGCACCCTTGAGATTCTGCGACTGAAAGCAGGCAAAGTACAGCAAACCACCCAGGAGGGTTTTGTTTGGACACCAAGAGATACAGTGCACCGCACTGGAAACCTCCCTTTTACCTGAAAATGACTTTCTACTCGTCTGGATGGAGACATGAACACACAGATACACTTTTATGTGCATGCAAATATTGAGAACGGACTTTAAGGCATACATAGAGGTACTGTTTACGGACAGTTGCTACAGGATGTTACTTACAGATAGAAGAAAGATAATGGTACATACATAACGGTAGATTAAAATATAGACTAATACATACATGGATCTTTATACATTAATGCAAAAAATGTTGAAATGTGAGCATTTGAACGTCCAAGACATTAAAAATAAAATATGTGCTTGTGTGTGTGGATGTAGTATGGGTGGTTGGGTGTGTTTAGTAAGTTGAAAAGCACAGGAGAGTAAAAAGGGTCCAAGACATCCTAGACTTTCTACTTCAGTAGAAAAAGAATGGAGGAACTGTGGAAACTACACTTAGATGGCACTACTTGAGAGGTTCAGGACACAAAGGCACAGTGTTCAAGCAAGCAAAACCTTGAAAGTAAACTAGAGGTGTGTGTACCACTGGGCAAATATTAATTTAAGACTTACGGGAAGAAGAGAAAGTGTGTAAGATGTATTGAATTAGAGGAAGATATGGAATGCGTGCATGCATGTGTTTGAGTATGTCTTCATGTGTATGTGTGTGTGTGTGGGTGTGTGTCCATTTAAGTTTCTAAGACAAGAGTGTTAGCAGGGCTGATTATCACAAGCCTGTTATCCCAGCACTTGGGAGGAAATGACAGGAGGATCAATGTGATCCTGGACACCATGGACTATACAGCAAATTCCAGGACAGGCTCCAAATCTACATAGTGAAATCCTGTCTCTAGAAACCAAATATACAACTGAAATAACATGAAATGAAATCACAGATAGTAAAAAGGTTCAAGGCCTACAAGATATTACAGCTCTTAGGGAAAGTTCAGATCATTGTGGAACCCACACTTTGATCCAAATGCTGGAGAAGGCCCCAGGTTCAAGGTCATGGTGTTGCAGAAATGGAAGTCCAGAGAGAAAACCTGAGGTGTGCTTATTGGCTTATTTAAAAAACAAGAAGGAACTGAAGGGGAGTGAGATGTATACATAGCCACAGAGAGTGGGAAAAAGAGAGAGGGGAGACATAGAGAGATACAAGAGAGAGGGAGAGAGGGAGGGATGAAGGGAGCAATGGACAGCGGGAGGGACTAAAAACAAAGAGGATGTAATCAGAGGATAATCTTGGAAATAAACAACCAATGTGCCAAAGAGGAAATCCCCAAGGATAATCCCAGGCCCGCTTATTTGCATCTTTGTGAGAGAAAGTTGCCTAGGTACAACTGGCTTGTGGGAAGACCAGGAAGGAGCTACCCACCAGATCTTGGGGCAAGGGTGCTATGTCCTGCAAACCCACCATGGAAAAGCTCTTGACTTAATGATGTCATTTGATTAGCCTTGCTCCCCCTGTATCAACCGCACCAATTGTGAAAGGAGAAGGGATTCTATCCCTTTCATCTTCAGGCTGTGTGAACACGTAAAATACATCCAACCTACCTCTAGACAGGACTTCCCCCCCCCCACACAAGCACACACAAACTGTGGTGAGCTCAGTATACCCAGAGGGACTAATCATTCACGGGGGCCACTTGTAAGGGAGGCCATGGTAAGGCAGCCATAGGGCTCTTTTGGAGAAGGAGAGGATCATGCATTTTCTTTTCTGGGAGTCATGGCAGTAGGCAGGAATGCTGTATGAACCCTTGCATTCAAACCCTCACAAACCCTCAGCAAAGAGCCAAGCTTCCCTCAGTTTTCCAGGGAGTTAGAAGGAAAAACAATAAACGTCTGTTTGGTAGTTTGTACCTTTTAGCTTTCTTTGAGTACTGCCTGAAGACATGGAGTAATCCACCTGGACCCACATAAACCAAGTATTCATGCCTGAGTAGTGGAAAAGTTTGGGAAACACAATTAGTAATTCAGGTGCTATGAAGTGGGCATTCAAATATCTCCTTTGCACAGAAAGTCCTTGAATGTCATCTAGAAAAAGTGGGCAAATTCAGGGAGGTAGAGGTGTGGACAAATTGAGTGTTTGTTCTATCCATGGCCCAATTTTAGTTCTGAGGCAGTGTCAACAGAGTTCGGGGAGTATTTCTTCTTTCGTGAACAGCACTTCCTATTTAACCAAATTACAGGCTATAAAAAGAATCAAGAACAAAAGTATTATAATAATGTCATACAGAAAAGCCTTTAATAATATGCAACATCCATCCATGATAAAAATCATGTGGATTCTAAGTACTGAAAGATAATATTTCAACATAAGAAAGATTCTGCCAGACAAATACATACAGAAAAATTATACTGGACTGTGAAATACAGAAATCAGCTTCATTTACATTGAGGATACAAGAGTGTGACAGAGAAAATATATAAAAGAAAAATCAAATAAGAAGACAGTTTATAGTGGATTGTTTTCCATCTCCTTCATAAATCAAGTCGAGGCAAATTTGAAAGTATTCTGCTACTGTTTGTTTCTAATTACTTTCTGTAAAGTCCGACATAATAGAGCTGAAGAACTTACAGCCACTAATTTCACTTAGTTAATTTACCATGCCATAGGTAGTAAGGTGTTCCCAATTGGAAGATCATACACTGGTCAGGTGTTTTGGTAATCTGAAGGGCTTTCCAGTCCTGCCTCAGTCTTGTGATAAACTTTCCTAGAAGAAATTCTCTTTGTGAAACAGAATTTACAGAGTTGATCTGGGGGAAGGGAAGTTTGTGGGAGGGACAGGGAGGAGTGGAATAAGGGAACACTGTGGTCGCGATGTAATGCATTAGAGAAGAATAAAAGTTCAGAAATAAATAAGTAAAATTTCAGTCAAAGAAACTGTCCACTATCTCTCCTCCCCAAGATTTTCCCTTCCAGGACATATACTGCCTCTCACTTGTGTCAGGGCTTCAGGACTTCTGACAGAACAGGAGGATGGGCCACTGTACTGAAACATACATTTAGTTGTCTGCAGCAGATATTCGGTCCTTACCACATTCTGAGACATCGGGCTTTTGGATACTCTCGCACAAAATTCTCCATTTTACTGCAGTATCAAGGTAGTTCGTTAGAGAAAAATATTTAGAGTAACTCAAAATGGGTAGGTGTTTAATTTGTTCAGTGAATAAGCAAATCCATTTCTAATTGTGGATTTGTATATCTTTTACAAGTCTGCAGTTCTTGTAATTTTACACATGATGAAATAAAACTACAAATAGCTGATACCTGACTTTACATTGCAACTTTTCACATACTTTGAGTTAAGATGAAATAATATAATGTATTTACTTAGCACGAAATCAAATCAAGTATTGGGCCACATAAATTTGAATCTGGGCTTTATCTTTAGAACTTTGGAGAAGTTTTTTTTATTACTGTACCTCAATTTTATCATCTATGAAAGAAGACAAATATTGATAACCTGCCATCAGTGGGAATTAAACAATCCATCATACAAAAACTACGTAGGATAGCTAGCCTTATGCCTGTAATTCTGGAACTCAGTGTCAAACTGCTGCCTTTCCTCAGTGTAGCTGGAAACTAAAAGCCTCTCTGAGACTTTGCTTCTGTCTCACGTACTTCTATAATATTGGGATTAAAGGTGTGAGCTACAATTCTCTTTTAGACAAATTCACACTTGTGTAGATATGGGTTGACTTGGACTCACAGACATCTGTCTATCTCTTATTCCTGAGTCCACAACCACTTGGCTTCTGTCTGCTGGGATTAAAGGTGTGTGCCTTTATAGCTTGTGGCTGACTTTGCTTTCTTAATCTTCAGGCATCCTTTAATAAATCATAAACAATATCTCACATCAATTCTTCTCTCATCAAAGCCTGTTTGCTTCGTCACACTACTCTTTTCACAAGGCATAGTACAATAGGTCTTTTAAATTTCTAAGCATGGATAAGGACACCATGTGTGACAATACTCATTCATTTTGTATTATGTAGTGGCAGTGATCCAGATCCATGTGTGTGGTGAAGCTCTCTGACTCACACTGCTATATAGCAGTGATCTAACTCTACAGTTCAAGAGGTAAGAAACTCACTGCTTTGTATCACAAACTCTGTACATTGTCTTCCTTCATTCCTTCCTTCTCTTCTTTTTTGTGAGGCTGTCCCCTCTCCCCATACCTCTTCAATATTGTACTCGAAGTTTTAGCTACAGCAATAAGACAACAAAAGGAGACGACGGGGATACAAATTGGAAAGGAAGAGGTCAAACTTTCAATATTTGCAGATGATATGATAGTTTACATAAATGACCCAAAGAACTCTACCAGGGAACTCTTACAGCTGATTAACTTCTTCAGCAAAGTGGCAAGCTACAAAATAAAATAAAAAACATCAGTAGTCCTACTATATACAGATGATGAGAAAGCTGAGAAAAAAACCAGAGAAACATCACCCTTTACAATTGCCACAAACAACATAAAATACCTTGGGGTAATGCTAACCAAATAAGTGAAAGACCTGTATAGCAAGAACTTTGAGTCTTTAAAGAAAGAAATTAAAGAAGACACCAGAAAATGGAAAGATCTCCCATGCTGTAGGATAGGTAGGATCAATGTAGGAAAAGTGGCTATCCTTCCAAAAGAAATCTACAGATTCAAGGCAACCTCCATTAAAATACCAGCACAATTTTTCACAGACCTTGGAAGAACAAAAATCAATTTAGTATGGAAAACAAAAGACCCAGGATAGCCAAAACAACCTTATTCCACAAAGCAGCATCTGGAGGCATCACCAGCCCTGATC